CTGCAGCAGCAGTGGCAGCAGCTCATCCTCTGAAAGTTGGTGGACAGGGATAGGGCAACAGGGAAGAAGGGTTCTGCTGTGCAGGACGGGACCAAGGGAGGTCTTTGCAGGGAGGGGAGGCTGAGGGCTCAGGCGGAAAGTAGGGGTGCCGGGGCAGTCCTGGTGGAGGAACTGCTTGGCAGTGAGCATGACTGGTTTTGTTTCTTAAACAAACTTTCTGTTTTAGAGAAGTTTTCAGCTCCCAGCAAGACTGAGCGGAAGATAGAGAGCTCCCATGTACTCCAACCCCCAACTCCACACAGTCTCCCCATCATCACACTCTTCTTTCGACCAAGACTCTGTTGGTCTGAGTGTGTCAGGGAGCAGCAATAAACTGATGTGGTGCAGAGCCTCATCCAGCACAGAACAGGGCTGGGTGCTTGCTGGATCAAGGGACAAGCTTCTAGATGTTCCCTCTCCTATCTCTTCAATGCCGGAGCCTGGATGGATCCTGGGAGATGCCAGAGTGGCAGTCAAGAGCAGGTCTATGCAGCCAGACAGCACAGCTGTTCAAGTTGAAGGTAGACATAATGACCCTCAGAAAACATGGATCTCACCATGAAAAGTCTTTGAAGAGGGCTGGGGATGTGGCTCAAGCAGTAGCGCGCTTGCCTGGCATGCATGCGGCCTGGGTTCGATCCTCAGCACCCCATACAAAAACATTGTGTCCGCCAAAAGCTAAAAAAAAAATATTAAAATTCTCTCTCTCTAAAAAAAAAAAAAAAAAAAAAAAAGTCTCTGAAGAGAAACCCAGGCATTCCAGCACAAATTCAGAAGATATATGTGAAAAAGCAATTACTTAGAAATAAAATATAGGTGTAAAATAAATATAGGTATAAAAAGGAATCTTACCAGGCCTAAGGGAAAAACATTGGGGGTGTTCTGAGCAGGGACCCTGCTGCCAGAAGCAGGAAGTCTCATCTCCACTGGGCATTGTTAATACCAAGGCCTGGGGCAGACTGGCTCCTGCCCCAGCATCAGGACAAGGGGGAGACCACACGCCCTACTGCTATTGACCTTGGTGCTTTGGAGGGCCACACTATAAATGAATGACACTGTCCACAGACAGCACCCAACACAGAGGGGGGCAGAGAGCCAATTTTAAGACCTTTTTAATTTTTTTTTTTTTTTTTTTGGTAGTTGTAGGCAGCATGCCTTTATTTATTTATTTATTTTTATGCGGTGCTAAGGATCGAACCCAGTGCCTCACACTTGCAAGTGCTCTGCCACTGAGTCACAGCCTCAGCCCCACATTTTAAGACATTTTTAGTCATAGTCTAAATATCAAAAAATGTAGAGAGAAGAGGGGAGGGGAGGGGAGGGGAGGGGGGATAGTAGAGGATAGGAAAGGCAGCAGAATACAACAGACATGAGTATGGCAATATGTAA